GCTAGCCCAGTCCTGGGGCCCCCCACCCCTCAATCCCAACCTACAGTCCAGCCCCAAGCTCTCCATCCCCCAGCTCTGCTGATGCCCCAAAATCCCAACCTACAGCCCCAGGTTCCCCACCCCTAGCTCTGCTGGAGCCCCACAGTCCCTACCGGCAGCCCCCTGCCACATCAGCCCGTGTTTACACATACAATTTCAAGGCTAGCCCAGTCCTGGGGCCCCCCACCCCTCAATCCCAACCTACAGTCCAGCCCCAAGCTCTCCATCCCCCAGCTCTGCTGATGCCCCAAAATCCCAACCTACAGCCCCAGGTTCCCCACCCCTAGCTCTGCTGGAGCCCCACAGTCCCTACCGGCAGCCCCCTGCCACATCAGCCCGTGTTTACACATACAATTTCAAGGTCCACAGCCACCACACAGAGGAGAAAATATCCCTCCAAAGCTTTTTCCTCAATGAAGACTTTTCTAGCAAAGTCCTTACCTGGCTCCATCACCATGGTGTCGGGGCACCTCAGCCTCTGTAGTCATTTAGCCTCGCCCCACCCCTATGAGCTGGCTCGCAGCCCCGGGGTGGGAAACAGCTCAAACAACTCTGCTGAGATAACTGAGTTTTTATTATCAAGTCGGTGGCATACAAGACATATGTATTTCTCAAACAATTTGTATGAAAAAAGGCAAATAAAAAAATTAAAAGCCAGGCCCGGCTTCCACCCATCGGGACCTTAAAGACAAACTTTGAGCCTCGATCCCAGACAACAGCAACCAGCAACGGGAGCAGGGCAAAATAGTCCTGCGCCCGTCCACAGCAGAACCGAGCCCCATCCCGCAAAATTTCCCTGGGGGAAGGTTTTGGAAAGCTTGGCTTTTAGAAAGGGGGAGAGGGAAGGAATGGAAAAGTTTGAAAATGTTTGCAGGAGGGAAAGCGATGGTGGTTATCTTTCCCTCCTCAAACGTTTTGAAACTTTCGATTCCTCCCTCCCCCTCGCCCAACCCCCATCCAAAAGCCAAGTTTCCAAATCTTCCATACAACAAAGTTCTGGGATCTATGGGCAAGTCCCAAACAATTCCCACCCTTAGTTGTTGTCTGCTCTTACACACATTTCAGAATAAAGTCTCAGAGGGGCAGCTGTGTTAGTCTGTAACTTTAAAAACGAGTAGTCCTGTGACACCTCAGAGACTAACTAAAATATATAGGATCATGAGTTTTCCTGGGGAAAAATGAGGACGTGGATTTTATCCACGAAAGCTCACGATATTTGTGTTAGTCTCCAAGATGCCGTAGGACTACTCGTTGATTTCAAAGTGGCTTCAAGAGTCCATACGAAGAATGGAAATTTTGCAGTGTGCTGAAACAAAGTTTGGATGTTTGCAAAATTCCCTCCCTCTCCCCTTTTTTCAACCTAAACATTGTGCCAAAAATTGCCGCCATTTCACACATAAAAAAAATCAGTTTTGGGCAAACCATGTTTTCTGAAGAAAAAACATTTAGGGAAATTTTTTCACCTTGCTCTTAAGTCAGCTAATCATCCCATCTGACCTCCTGCATAGCAGATGCCAGTGAATGGCTGACAAGGATCTCTGCCTCTAGCCCAGAACAGGAGGTTGAGCTATAATCCCCTTAACTCTGCCCACAAATTAAATGCAAATATGAAATTGCAAGATAATGGGAAAGTGCAGCTAGCAAACAGATGCCCACAGGTATAAACTGGCACTCACTGAGGAGTTATTTTAATCTACATTGCTTGAGGATTGGCCAGGTTTAGCCTCCTTCCATAGTTTTTCATTATCTACCAATCAGGCTCAAGTGCAATTAACTTTAGAGATGGGTTTCTTGTCTCCTGTTGAGAAAAACACAGAGCATGCTCTTGCTCTACAGTGCATACATCCCGGAAGCAATCATGCAGCATAACACAGAGATAAATGCAAAGCTTTTACTTGCAGACAGGTGGGGCGTCCAAACTCCAGGGAAAATGTCTGCTAAACACAGCACTGGATGGGAAGACTAGAAACTAATGGTGGGAAGGGAAATCTACAAGTGACAGAACCAAAAATAAAAATGCAGTAGCACTCTCCAAACCTGTTTAAATATACAGAGCGAGGAGGGAACTTTTGAAATTAAGAAGTTTTCCTGTCCTGAACTAGGATAAATAACTCCTCTCTCAACAAATCTGGCAAGCTGAAAATCCCCAAAAAGTTTCAGGTGGGATCAAACATGTCTGTGATTTTTAAAAGTGTTATTTTGAGTTCAGCTCTTCTTGAGCCCACTCTACCTAAAGTTTCAAACCAGACACATTGACTCCAAACCCCAAATTTTGGCATGCTGAAAGTGTGGACATTTTCTAACTTTCTGCCCTCCCCCGGGCATTTCCATCTCCGGAGATTCCTCCAAACCAAGACTGTGGCCTAGCCAGGTCGGTGTGGACAGACCTCCCCACTTGAAAAAGTTTCCGTTGCAACGAGTCAGCATTTTTTGGTTGGGGAAAAAAATGTTGTTGAAAAAACGGAGCCGGTCGGGATGCGGACGCTGAGATTCCAAAGTGCGTCTCTGCAACGAACAAACCGGCTTGGTCCCATGACAAGAGAAAGCCCGGTGCTAACGCGGGTGTTCGGACCAAGAGAAAGCTGTGCATCGTGTATAAAGGAGAGTAGTGTATTTCAAACACAACTTTGCCCCTACAGGAGCCCCAGATACAAACCCTTCCCCAGCCGAGGGGTGGAGAAGAAATAAAAGGCACTTTTTTCAAATGCAGAGCAGCCACTCACCTGAGAGACAGCAGCCGTGCCCTGCTGCAACGAGTGCGGGCACTGACATTCACTCTAGGTCTCTGCCAATTAGCACAGATATACTGATTACTGCAGGCCAAGCGGAGGCGCGCTGTGACGCTCCAGCACGCTCTGCAATCAGTGGCTTGCTATGCCCGCCGCCTC